TAAACATAAAGCCAGGGCAACAATCACCTTTCTTCCCCATTCTAGTGCTCAGTTTGAACTTCAGCAGGTACTCTAGATCAGGGGTGGGCAATCTCAGTCCACGAGGGCCGATGTCCCTGCAGATTTTAGATGTGTCCTCGAACCAACACAGCTGATTTAAATGGCTAAATTAGCTCCTCAACATGTCCTGAAGTTCTCCAGAGGCCTGGTAACGAACTAATCATGTGATTCAGGTGTGATGACCCAAGGTGAGATCTAAAACCTGCAGGCACACCGGCCCTCGTGGACTGAGATTGCCCACCCCTGCTCTAGATCATGTCTACATGCCTGAATGCTTTGGCTTGCTGCCATGTGACTTGCTGATTAATTATTTGCATTAACAAGCAGCTGAACAGGTCTACCTAACAAATTGGCCAGCGAGTGTATAGTGTGCTAGATTTAGCTTAAAGGCCATTTTCATCTGCACCCCCTGAGCGACAGCTTCTAATGATTCACAGCTTACTAAGAAAAACAGATAACCACTGTGGTAAATTAGAACCTGGCATTTAAAAGCACAAACACAAAAAAGCACAAAATTAAACAAAATAACAAAACTAGAAGACAAAACAACCCCCCCACGCACAAAAAAAAACCCCAAAAAAAAAAAGGGCCCTTCCAACAACAACAAAACAAAAAAAAAAGGAAATTAAACATTTTATCAATGCCAGAAAATTCAAACCACAAGTGCTGAAGCTGGCCCAAATGTTAGTGTCGCGCAACTCTATCAACCTTTTAACATGTGGAACTTATTAAACTCACACACGGCTCTTTTCCATTCACTATATTTAATACAGTTATCAAGAATATTGGATTTAAATGAATCTAATGTTACACATGTAATGCACGTCTTGAGCAGCCATCGATGAATTCCAGTTGATATGTCGTGATTGCTGGGTTTATTTATTTATTTATTTATTTATGTATTTATTTGTTACACCAGTCAGTCTCAGGCAGAGTGAAGTGTGACTTCACGCTGCTGCGTTAGCCTCACAAAGGCCATACATGATAATGGAAGGAGTCTGAGACGGTTATAAAACCGAAGAGACATTTTTAACTTAATTCATTTAATGCTTTTTTTTTCTTCTGGACTGTGCCTGAAACAAGCACTCATGGAAATTGAGCACTTTGTCTTTTGGCAGAAGCGCCTGCTCTGCCGTGTGTGTGCGTGTGTGTGCGCTCAGTGGGTGATGACAGAACTGCTTTGAATGGAGTGAAAATATCACAGGCTCATGCATTACATATCACAGATTTCTTACGGCACGGCTCAGTGGACGGTGTTTTAAATGGATCTTTTAATGACTGCCCTGTCCATAGAGAATCAGCAGACTCTTAACAAATAATTATTGGAGGGTTTGAGAGGAGAGATGGGATTTTGAGTCCTGCCACTGGAGATGAATGAGGTTTTTTTTGTTTTGGGTTTGTTTGTTTTTACACAATAAAAAATTTGAAATTAGTACTTAAAATTACATTCTTGCCTTTTTTCTGTAATAAGCCGTTATTTGCATTCACAAAACCAACAACATGAAGGGTTTGAGATTAAAATTGAATTGGAAAACGTAATACACAAACAAACATGTCATAACACTGTATGCTGAAGCGTGGCGTATCTGCTCACTGAACAGCTTTCATGGAGAAAACAATAGATGGGTATTAAAAGAAAAGCCACTCCGTCTTCTTTAGTCCTTCACGTCTAGAGCACAAACAATCCCGGGTCAAAGGCACGTTTTCCCCCCTTCAGACTGTATCTACTGACAGGCTTTTCAAATGCAGATGAAATTCGTTTGCTCGTCTTTCTTCGCACCCTTATTTCCACTAGTGCATAATCCAAAATATGTGTCACTTTCAGAGCGTATGGAGATTTAAGCGATTTAAAGGCAGCTCCTTAAAGTCTTCCATTTAAAATTCATTGAAAACAGATTTGAGAGAGATGTGCGCGTGGGGGGGCGGAATCAATTTGAAACGGTTATGAGTTATGAAAACAAATTCCACATTGATTGGCTCTCACACTTATCTTTCCCTGTGTAAACAAATAGTCCACAGGAGGAAAATGCAAATTGCATTAGCCTCAGCGTGGCTGAAGGTCAACATCAGCTGATACAATTATGGGCTGTTTAGGACAGCCATACTGCTTTGGAATAATGAAAGCAGCTATTTAAACATGAACAGCAGCTTTAATATTCCTCCGGTAGGGAAGCAGTTGGTACGGCAAACCCCAAGCTACACTTACTCAGACAGAAATATCAGTACGCTTTCTTTCTTGTTAAATGTGAGACATTTTGACTCAAATTTGAAATCCTTGGATTTGTTATGAAAACAAAGACGATTCACGTCATTAATCTGGCCTAAACATGGAGAGATGTATAAAATATGAACTGAATAACAATCAGTGTAACCTTGAATTTTGTATCCTTAGCTATTAAATCCAACTGAAAGGCAACGTTTTAATAATGCAAACATGCTGAAAGTATAAGCAGAATAAATCAATGAGCTCATCTGCTGCATCACTGAGCTGCTTCTTTTTTTTTTTTCTTTCTTTTTTTTTGTCAGGCTCGAGTCTCCCACGCGAACCCTGACCATGGAGGCTCCCAGAGGGGTGGAAGTAAGTGCCGCTGAAGGGTCGCTGAAGGTCAGCGGTCGCAAGGATCTACAGCTAGAGTCCACTGAAGGAGAGGTGAGGAGCATTTATTTCTATATCTATATATTTGTTTTAAATATTCTACCACAAGGCATGTGATATGAAGCAACCAAATGTGACTGAGTAGTTTTAGCTTTAACACAGGAGGAAATAAGATACTTTTTTTATAGTCTTTCCATTTTCACAGACTTAAAGATCTCTTTCATTGTTTCTTTAATCATAAATTAAGGAACTCACAAGTCTGGAGTTGATTCCAAGTGCATGAAAAATGCAAATGCAGTATTTATTCAAGTCAAGAACACTGCTGTCATGATGCTCCTGATGTGATATTATTGCGATTTTAAACATTTTGCTATATGCTGAGTATCACATTAACATATATTGCGATTTATTCCCTTTTTTTTCCAAACTTGGTCAGGATCTCTTTCTTCTACTTTGTAAAGTTCTTGCATTTCTGTCATTTTATTGCATCAAAATTGAACTGTAAAGCAGACAGACTGAACAACACTGTCATTAAAATCCATCAAAAATGTTGCATGCACCTGACAGACTGAGCTGTTTGTGCTACATTGTGTGCGACTGAAGTCAAATGTGTGGGCTGCTGTACTATTAAAGGTATTTTAAGCAGCAGTAGCCAGTCATCTGTGAGATAATGAGCCACATATGAATCCACAGCATGTAATGTCCAGATGTCTCAAGTTAATGCAACCATTTGCTGTACTCACATTTATGCCTAACCTCTCTGTAGAGCCTGGGTACAGCTGTATCCATCAAAAGGTGTCACACACCTGGGTTCCAGTGCCTTGAGATTGGGGAGGGGAAAATGCTTCTTTTTGTCCTCCACATAGTTGTACAGCTAGGTGTCCTTGAGTTTCTTGAAAGGCACCTATAAATATTTTCTTAGCTCTGAATTGGCAGGTAGTTTTGTCAGTGGTCCCAGTGTTGGTTGTTTTGTAGAGACTGAGATTGATTATGAACCAGTCGGTTTCATGTATGCACGGCAAATGCATAGCAGTGCAGACAAATAGCCATAGACATCCACAGAAACAGCAGCCAGCAGTGAGGACAGAAAGTTTGCCAAAGTAAACTGTATGGTGGACCACCACGAAAACGTCCCTAATAATAAACCCAACCAGATACTATTTCACCTTCACAAACATGAACGTTTTCATGAAACTAGCAAAGGAAACACGAACAAAGCTAAAGCTATTCAGAGCTCAGAGCCAACCGCGAGCTAGGAGCCTCGGTATGAGCAAAGGATCAAGATCAAATTATGGAGACGAGTGGAAAAAAAGAGAAAAGGGCTCATCTGGTGACTTTTTAAAAACACCGTAAAAGTGATGTAAGAACCTGACATTTGTTTTGTCGTGTGAATCTTTTGCTTTTGTTTGAGGTAAATATGTCAGGTAAAGGTGGATGTGCAGCAGCTCCCTTTTAATTAATTAGTAAATTAATTAGTTTTTCAGTTTCAGTGTGAGAGCACGTGCTGCAAAATCGAATAATTTATTTTATTTTGAAGAATTTTATAATGTAGAAAATTAGATTTAGCAAAGATCACTATGAGCAGGTCACACATAACCAAAAATTTGCAACAGCCAAGCTAATGTTCATAGTTCTCCCAGAGTATTTTATGACACTCCCATGTATTAGATGTACCAAATTTCCCAGAGGAACCCACCCGAGGGATTAATAAAGTTTTATCTATCTATCTATCTATCTAGATCCACCTCCTTTGTCCCTTCCTTTTTTAAAAATCCAAACATAAGTCCATACTTACTTCTTTTTTTCTAAAATGCTGCCATCTGTTTTAAAAACTTCCTCCCGTATGCCGATGTCACTTGGGAAAAAAAAAAACAAGATCACCATCTGTTGAACTGTTAAAGTAATTTCTTTTATTATTCTAGGGCTAAAAAGTTAGTATTGTCATTGCAGATCATATAATAAAGTATCAGTATTTGATGGGTCTGTATCAATACAGTATTATCTCTCAAAATATTGCAGTACTCTGGCGTATCAGTACCCTCTGCCCCTGTTACCTGGATGATGGAAAGAGAGGGAAAGCAAGGACTAATTATCCAAAGCAAACATTATTACTTGTCAAATATGGAGGATGCATTGTGATTGCATGTACGGCTACCTGTGGAGCTAGGTCTGTAGTATTAATTAGCTCCGGCAAGGAGGTTATGTGGTTTGTTTATTTAGTCTGTTTGTTAGCCGGATGACTCAAAAAGTTGAAGATGATTTGCATGAATATTTGGCCAGAGCCTGGGCTTGGCTCAACTTATTTATTTCAAATTTGTCATTTTACAAACTAGTCTAAATTCAGATATCCTTCTGGATCCAGGAACTCGTGCATGGTGCGGAGGAAATGATCAGCCTTGGCTGGGTTTTTGTAGTCTCTTGTTGTGAATGCTGATAAAAGAAGCAGGCTAAATTCTGGGCCGTGGCTCTACTTCCTGCTCAGATTCAGCCAAGTGCTGTAAAACGAACAGGACGGCTTTTTACGGTGCAAATGAACAGTGACTTGAAACATCCCAAAACAACCCAAGAGCTTCAGAAGACAAAGGATATTTAATGCTCTTAAATCGATGAGTCACTTGCTTGATTTTTTTTTTAACCCAACCGAGCCAGCTGTTCACTTATCTGAGACAAAAACTGAGCCACGAACGCTGAGACAAAAGGCAGCTGCAGTAAAGGCCTGGCAGCGCGTTTAGTGATGTCATTGCTTTCAGACTGCAGGTGGTAACTGACTGCAAACAGTCTGCAACAAAGTCACAACACAATCCTTATATTTATGAGTTTGTCCAGTTGCTTTGAGCTTGTGGATATGGTGGAAATGAAGTCGTTTTACTTTTCTGTTTTTCTTTTTAACATTTGAGCCTGGTGGTGGGTGGAAACAGATCTCCAGAGTTCTAATAATGGTTGCTTAGAGAATTGTCAGTCACTAATTGGGAAATCTTGGCAGTCTGTTTAATAGTTGTTGAGCCATTTCAGTCTGAACCAAAGCAGCGACCCACCAACTGACACTCGGCTCCCTTGAGCCACTAGTGTGGCCAAAAAAACAAAAAAGAGAGAGACCAATTTAATGTTCCAAGCCAAATCCACCTTCACTGCTGATCTAACTCATCAGATCAAGACTGCTGTATCTCACTCCACCTGCCACGGTATTTACTGATAGTGCCACAGTCATTTATCAGTTCCAGTTGGTACTATATCACTCCAGGACACCCCTGACAGTGTTATTTGAATGACTTCCAGCTTGTCTCCAACGTTGTGTCCTTCCAGATACTTTTAGATGCCAACGCCGTTCAGTTTGGAGGCCTCCCGCTTGGCACCTACACAGCGTCGCCCAGGCAGACCTCGCAGGAGCAGACCGTGTACGAGGTGTGCGTTTGTCCCAGTGGCAAGATCTACCTCTCTCCCGCAGAGAGCAGCTCCACCTGCCAGGCCATGAGCAACATCTGCCTCTGGAGCTGACCTGGGAGCAGCGGCGGTTGAGCGGAGACAGTTAGAACATCTGCTCTGGAGCTGCAGAGAGCGGGATGGGTCTCTCCGATGGTACAAATGACAGAGTGGGACACTGAGATGGAGCTGGTAAGAGAGGCTGCGGTCAGGTCAGCACAGAAGCATCCAGGTTGCTACCTGCAGTGCGTTGAAGGAGGTCAGGACTCTTCCACCAGTGGAAGTCGCAGCGGCTCTCTGAAATCAGGAATATCCCACACGGAGAGGAGAGCCTCCATCTCCTTATTAGATTCAGAGGACACGACTTTTATTTTTCTACTCCAGGTTGAGTGCTGGCAGGCAGTGACTGTTTTTATGATAAGGAAGAAGAGGAGAGGCGGGGATGGATGAAACACAGGTGCCTTCAGCTTTAAATGGCTTCATTCTAAAACTGTCTGTGCAGCTGGAGTCAGACATTAGCTGTAATGGTAGAAAGTGGAGTAAGCACAATGATGTTTTTTCCTCTAAAAATCCCATAGACTGAATATAAAAGATGGACATAATCACTGCAAAGCCGCTAACAGGTGTGTGAAGCCTTGAGTGTAGCTTTTTGATGGGCACATCTTTGTTAGATCTAACAAACTGAGCAACACTGCACAAACATACATGAAAAACTTGCTAACTACATGCATTACCCAGTTTGTCCATGATGGCACCAATGGTGACCTTTGTTAAAGTAGCCCTGAAAATACTGATTGAGCCCAAAACATGACAGAAAATGGTTTATTGTGTTCATGAAGAGAGAAGTAGGATCATTTTCTCATACAGTCGAGCTTCTTTCGCAACAAGATGAGTCGCCCTCTGCTGGTCATTAAAAAAAATGCAGGTTTATCCACATTGCAAAGTTATTTCCATGTTTTATATGCAGTCTATAAAAAAATTTAGATTGTTTTTGTTTTTGAATGATCTCAATAGGTGTGTGTTTGTTTTCTACTCTGTCAGAGGTTGTGTATTAAACTTGTTTCTGTGTGGCACTCATCGTTCTTGACATTTAACTATTCCCCGAGGTTCAGGTGGACAGATTTCCAAAGACTTCGCTCTCTAAGATAACTATGACATGATGCACTGCAACTTTAGCTGGAAGACCGTCTCATTGAGAGTACCCGTTTGGAGCGTATATCACATATTATGTGATATTCATTGCGTTGAAAATTAAGTTTAGCTGAATCAAGGATAACTTAAACTATAAAGAATGAACATCATGTGATCAAACGCTCCAGAACAGCAGGTCAGTGGACCTTGTGGTAAGTGTTTCTTTGACATTTGTTCAATGACAGGGGAAAGTCCCCCGATTCTCGAGTACTACAGCGCCACCAGTAGGGCAGAAGTTGAAAGTGCATTTAAGTCGTACCTCACAAAAAAATTAGGTGTGGTTGGATAACTTGAGACTATTTCAAAGCACCCTATTAAGTCAGTTTCTGCCATACTGAATTTTGTTAAAGCATTTAATACACCGGGCACGTTTGTTATTTTCCCCAAGTCAGCACCAAAGAACGCACAGACCATCTTCAGATTAAGCCTCACAAAAGCTGAAATTAGTGGCAAAGTTGACAAACAAGCAAAGTCGCGTACCGTCAAAGCTGCGATTAGTCTAAACTAAACTCCAGACAAATGCACGTTGGGTGACTTAGTAATTCTAAATTTGCCGTAGACGTGAGTGTGGATGGTTGTGTGTCTCTCTGTGTGTTTGCCCTCTAAGACAAACTGGTGACCTGCTCAAGGCGTGCCCCACCTTTCCTGCTATGACAGCTGGGATAGTCTCCAGCTTCCTGCGACCTTAAATTAAACAAGTGTTTAAGAACGTGGATGGATGGAAATGTATTTAATAGTCATCTCAAGGTATTTTATATAACGCATGCTGTACACCTTAACTGATATTCACTATCTTGTTTCTTTCTTTTTAGGTCTCAGGGCTCAGCTGGTACTCCAGTCTCCTCCTTCATACTGGTGGATGCTGTAGGTAATACTCAAGTACTACCACACTTACAAAACTCCAAACTAACCCTTTAAGTTGCCGTGCACGTGTCATCTGTGTGGCCGCTGCAGCTTTGTCCCACAGGGTGTATGGTGCACGTTTAGCAATGACATGTGACAGACGTAAACCTAAATCATATTATTACATTTAATTTAAACATACCTGTTTATTTAAGGTCAGTAAATGATTTGCAGAGTGTATTTAGGTTCTCTTTTCTCATGTGAAATATCTCTGGCTGAAGAAAACGAAAAGCCAGAGAAAGACACAACATGTTATCCACCGGTACTTTTATAGCTGTGATCCTTTAGCTTCTCTGCGAGTATCAGAATTCTTTCTGAATACATTTGTGCTGTCTGTTGCATCGCAGCTCTTTAACATTTGAGCCACATTTTCTTGCAGAAGGTTTGTGCATTTTCCACTCTGCATGAGAGACTATAGGGGCTTGTGTTATAGGGTGATGTCATGGTGCAAAGCCTCTATAGATTGGACGAATTACACCCAGAAAAATGCATAACGGCGCTGCAGGTTGATACGCTCATTTTCCAAACCCCACCCAGTTAATCGGAGCCAGCCTAGAGTTTTATTCTTATAAATTGAGAGACAAAAAGGGAAGATTTTGGAGTACTTACGATTACACATCCAGTGAAGGGGGGAGGAAAAAAAAATGCCCTTCTTTTCCAGCCTGTGGCCTGGAGAGGAATGAACAGCAGTCTGAAAAAGCAGCAGAAATGATTCAAACCTGCCTTTTAACAGACGCCGCTACCTCTCTTTTTCATAATTCTCTCTCTTTATAAAGCCTTTTTTTCTCTGCCACAGGCAGTCTGAACAGAAGAGGCAGAGGAGAGTGTTTAAGGAGCAGGGTTAAGAGCTGATATTATCGAGCCCGCTGCTGTACATTCACGGCTCGGTGCACTTCACACGTTTTCTGCCTCTAATTAGGTCCAAAGTTGCCATCAAGGAACCCAATTGGTGTCGCAGGAACTCTGTGGCTGCTGTATTTTAAAGTCTCGCTTTTCAAGAGGGGCTCTGCGGCAAGCAGGTAGTTAGACGATTCACACAATTAACACCGCAGGCCCCTTCAGAAGTCGCATCAAATCTACAAACTAATAACTCGCTCCCCTCCACCTGTAAGAATACATAAACCCCGTATGAAGGGAGTAGGGTGACAGGTGAGAGGAAATCCGTTCACATTGGGGAGTTGAGTGTTTTCGCTCCCGGCTAAAGACGGCCTCTTTGCATTTGTGATCATGCTGAAGCATTCATTTGACTCAAACACGCACCATATGCTTAAGACCTCTGAGAGTATCCCTGCTTTGGATTCACACCTTCATATGCATATCAGTTAAGAAGCTCAGTGTGGATATTTGTTTCTGATCCCAAAGGGAGGGGGAGGCTTGATTGTTTGGCGTGCCGAGCCAGAAAAAGTTCAGATTTTATCCTCAGTTTGTGCTTCTGTTCAGATCTGTCCAATTCATACACCTGTTCAGAGCTTTTGCCAATGAGATGCCATGTTGTTAAAATGCCAGCATTTTCTTCGTCTTCTTCGTGCACGTGGCTCTCTATTCACAGGTTGAACGCATCTTGCCAAGCTTTCTGTTTCACTCCTGTCTTTGAGTAAAATATTAAGCACGCTCGTAGCACGATGCGATAGATTTGTAGAGCACTATACCTGCAGTCACCCACGTAACAAAATGACTCAAAATTGAGGCTGCAAAGAAAAGTCAGTAACACAAAACCATGGTGTTTATTAGAGTGGGTGTGTATTAATGTTTTAGTGGAGAAAGCATGTTTAATGATGGCAAATGTTGAAGCTGCTGTAGCTCCAGGTGCTACAAAGGAGGTGTGTGGTCCATGATTTTAACTCCATGTGCCATAAGGGTGAATTTATAAAATATAATTTGTCAGGATTTTTTTCAAGGCTGGAACACCGTTTACTTCTGGCTCACATTTTAATGCGTTTGATTTTGCTGCCATCTATTGGCTGATATAGGTCTCACATTTACAGCTCCCTGTTCAAAGCTGGATTACTGCCTGAACACAAAGGGCACATGTCCCGAGAGCCACTCCCACAGTTTACTGAGAGCTAATTATTTTTGGTTTAGTTTATTGTAGACATATGCACTGATCACATATATTTAATTAAGGAAGTCCTGCTCTAAATGCTCATCAAGAGCTCCATCTTATGTACACATTTTCCAAGTTTGACATTTACCTACGACCACACACCAGCGAGGTTTTCAAGAAAAATATAAATTAGTCTTCAATCCAGATGTAATTGTTTTCATCCATTTTCTTTTACTTATCCTCATCAGGATCATGGGCAGGCTGGGGCCTATCCCAGCTACCACAAGTGGGATACACCCTGGGCAGAAACGTGGATGTCAATATTCTGATTTACCAAGATTTCTGCATCTCCTGGAATGGGCTCCATCCAATTGTGGCACTTTGACTCACTCAGGTTCAGGGATGAACTGATCATGTTGGTCAAAGCGTCAGGTGACTTCACAGCAAAACAAAAGTTTAAGGCTGATTATGACAAAAGTTCAAAGACTTTACCCCCAAAACGTGACATAATGTTAAAGACATGAGCCAACAGGGTGAGTGGGTGCTCCATCACCATGGTGGTTAGCACTCTCTGAATGCAGAGTGCTAACTCTGAAATGCATGTGTTGCAGATTGGCTATAATCTAATCTTTTATAAACCACCATCTCCCTCTGGATGCAGTTAATTAGGTGTGACAATAGTTTAATATTACTAGCAGGGTCACAGCAGGGTCTTGGGTTTGAATCCACTGGCTGATGAGTTTGCATGCTCTCCCCGTGTCTGGGTTGGTCTCTCATGAGACTTCCTCCCAAAAGTTCAAAAGTATGCAGGTGTAGCCTACCTCTCAACTAATGACAACAGCAACAGGCTTCAGCACAACAACAACCCTGTACTGCAACAACTGGAAGAAGACGGCTGTGACTCTTTTGTGCCCATCTGTTCCATCATTTTAGTTTTCTCTACTTATGAGTTTGAAAAATGACATTTTGCTCTGATTTTGGTGTTCCACCGTTTTTCTTGTCTGTACCCGCTGTAAGTAAATCTTTTTAGCAAGATGTTTTTCTGTTTCATTTTCACCTGTTTGGATTGCAGATGGTGTGATTTGTGTAAACAATGCCCTTCTGTAGGGGGGAGCTGGAATAGCCCTAAATGTGATCACTTTGCAGATGATTTATTTTATTGTTGATCACTGACCACCTCCATGTCGAGATCAAGACCTGATTCACACAGATCTGGTCCACTTCTACACTTTCAATCACATCTGTAACAGGACACCCCACTACAAGCGTTCTCTAGAAAGGTCCATCAATGCCCCATGAAGTTAGTTTATATCTTTAAAAAAAAGAAAAGAGAAAGAAAAGGATGATGCAAGAATCCAGAGTATAAAGAAACTTTAATTGTTGGATTAAGAACAACCTTCACAATTTGAGGACTTATATATATTTTTAAAAAAATGTGCAATGGCATTTCAACCCTTGAGGTTTTTCATTTAAGACACGTTTCAGGTAAAAATAAACTAGGAGCAATGAAACAGCATAATGCTTGTGTTATAGAGCTGTATTAAGCTTATAGTAAATGTATAATAAGAATTATGGATGACCATAATGACTACAGATAATTTTGGAAAACCGGCTGACCACAGGCCTTAATTGAACATATGTTTAGGCTCTATATATTAAGTATTTCAACATAAACAAAACTTGAGGGATTCCTGCTGCTTAACATGTTTAAAAGAAATTATGTTCAGAGCCAATGTAATACTGTATTTGATGACCAATGTTACTTGCATGACTCAAAAATTGTCCACAGAACAACTTTTTAATTAACACTCAAATTTACTTGTTTACTGAAACAGACTGGCGTGCTTAGCTGTAAGCCTGCTCTGCAGTCTTAGACTAATCCGCAGACTTTAAATAAACAAATATGTAAATTATATACTGTTTTTTTCTGAATACTAACATTTAAAATACATACCCAACCCTTCCATGTAATTGTCAGACTGAAAATTTTGGCAACATGAAGCTTTTGTTAACATCTGGATTTATCACCTTGCAATAACACGATATTTTCAGACATAACTTACCAGGTAATTTTACATAAAGCTATTACAACAGGAGAACCTGTAGATACTGTTGATTAGTCTGTATTGGACAAGAAGTATTTATTGAAAACAACATTCAGGCCAAGTAGCAGCTGGGTCTTCATTCAGTAGTCCCCTCTGTGGTCGGGGATGAGTTTCTAAGGACGTACTGTCCTTTGGCTGTTCTCGTTATGCCTGCAATAAAAACAAAACTACATTTTAGGTATGAGTCACTTAAATTTAGCAGTTTAAACACATAATCACATTATAATCCTGCTATTTATGTGTTGGATAATTAAATAGCTTGCTCCTTTATGGCAGGGAATAAAGTTTTGAACTATTCCTTTAAACTCTTGGCCCATTTTCACACAAAGTCTCATCCTGGCAGGATGGTGTCCCCAGGTGTCCTTTTTCTTATGTAGCTTTCAGCAGGACACTTCCAGTAATTAGACTGACGCTCTCTCACTACTGAAAGTATTCGGTTTGGTTCAGGCGAGAGAGCTGCCCGGGTAGAGCGTGCAGGAGGCAGCATAGTCAGAGCTGTGAAGTCTGGTATGAAAGGACTCACCTCACGTTCTAATCTGGCAGGTCATCAGCTCTCAGGGCAGATCTGGAAATACCCAAGCCTGCAGGAATCCTGTCCGGATACCTGACAGCAAGCTTGTTGTGATTCAGCTCAGAGCCCTGATGAGTGAACACAATACTAGTTTAGTGGGTGGAGGAGTAACCTGGACACGTGACAAAGTATTCACCAAAATCAGAGAGACGTCTGACCGTGACTGTGTGATAAGGGTTACACGTCAACAACGCATTCACAGCATGATCCAGACAGTTTCAGAAGACTCAAACAAAAACTAGACAGACACAAGTGTAGAAAAAACTGGCCCAAGGAGATTAGGAAAGGGGGCACACATAAAGATGAACCCCCTAAAATGCAAAATTCAGGGCTTGAAGCAGGGCAGATTTCTGACCCTGGAGATTGATGCACTTCTTTGCCTGCAGTCTGAATTTTTATTCACCAATGTGGGCCTCTTTTTTTATTCATATTTAGTTGAATAGATAAATGACAAATTAAAACTCATTTCATAAATTCAAGGGCTTTTGTAGCTTCGGTGTCTCGGGGAGTTAAAATTTAATGATACATGAAAGAATCTAAAGCGGCCCTACTTCCTGGATTTCTGCCAGAGAGCCATCCTGCAAATTACAACAGCGACTGCCTCTCTGCAACTTCACAAACAGTACTACGGAATTACGACACAGTACCACAATAAAGGATGCACTTACATGAAAACGTCGGATTGCTTCATCACAATGTTCTTGTTTTGTATAGTTAACAAAGGCACATCGTTTGGCAGTCAAAACCTTGACGCTGTAGACGACCCCGACCCTGCAGGACAGGAGTGTGTAAAAAAACAAAACAAAGTTACCATAAAAAGTGTCTCACTACACTACAGCAATGCAGAGCTGTTTACTTTTATTACATAACAAACCCTAGAACTCCACTACAGGCTCTTACTTGTTAAACAGGTTTGCAAGCATGGAGTCAGTTACTGGGAAATTCAAGTTTCCCACCCAAACTGGAAACAGCTCCCTGTTGAAAGAAGACACCATTTAAAAAAAACAATATACGACCTATCCACAAAGTCTGTTTTGGGGATAGCTACACAATCATTTATAATATGCACAGTAAACAGTTTTAAAAAAAAAAAAAAAAAAGCGCCTACTGATTTTCTGCTCTAATGATTTCCTGGGATACACAGTCTAATTAAAGGTGAAAGAATACCAATAAAGTACCTTGTCTCTTGACTAATTAAATTTCGCAATTACAAAAACAGATCGAGAATCTGTTTTATTATTAACCTCACGCTGCTTCTGCTTCATGTAATCAATCCACCTGTTTACACTAGCTGTGGATGAAATTGTGGTTATGAAGTTTGTGAGGCTGTGCCATTTGAGGTCATTATTATCCAAGTGGAAACCAGTAAATCAGCAATAGTAACACAAAGGGCCATTTCTGAGCTAAAATATCAAACTCCGCTTTTGTTTTTTTAGGCATAGATTCAATCCAAGTAGGGCTGCCACAAACGATTATTTTGATAGTCGACTAGTCAGATTATTTTTGCGATTAGTTGACTAATCAGATCATCATCCATTGGACGTACAGCGTACAGCTTATTGCACCAG